TCAATTCATGCATACATATTTAATTTTCGTCTTTGCATATTAAACTCCAATTATTGTGTTCTTAAGTCTTAGCTAATCAACAAATCACATAACTAAACTAGGCCGTGAGTCCTTTGGGAGAACGATACTTGGTCTTACCAAGTTTATTACTTGAAACGATTCGGTCATACTTGCCGATTGTGAAACAAGTTTGTGACATCATATTTTGGTGCTTACAAATTTGTCCATCAGTATTAAACCTATAAATAAAATGACAATGTTTTTAAAATGATTGAAACTTGAAATGACTGTGCTGCAACTAAATTATGTGCTTAAACTTGAAATCCAACAAATTCAAGGTTCACCCTATACAAAATGGATTGCCATCACATGCCTTTTGTACTAGTCAAGTCTACTAAGCCATCTTTTTAGTATTTGTGTGCTGAATTAAGAAATGGTCAAGACTCACTTGAACAAGAACAGGGTTCAACAAGGTGTAGGTTGAGAGTAAGAATGACATTGCATATTTGGAAGATTTTCCAAAGTTTGTAGAATACAATATTTGAAAGATTTTCCAAAGTTTATTCTCTCATGACAAAATCAAAGAAAGATACATGGAAATGTGATTGATTAAGCTAACACAATGCAGTATAAGATAAGAACCACACAACATACATAATATCAGCATGCCCTTGTTATTTCTTCCATGGAAGGAACTTTGTTGTAATATTAATACATTAATTTCATTATTAAAGATTTAGATTCCAGGCTTGGGCAAAACATAGAGTGGATTCTTCTTATGCTGAGTAAGCCCTGGCAACATTTCTGTATCAATGTCTTCATTTGTCACTCCTGCTGGCAATTCCCAATCGAACGAATTCAGAAGATTGGCAAGAATAAGATTGACTGAGGCAACAGCCATAGGAATACCAGGACAAATTCTTCGACCAGCACCAAATGGAATTAGCTCAAAATCATGCCCATGAAAATCTACACTACTATCTAAGAACCTTTCTGGCAAAAACTCTTCTGGGTTTTTCCAAGACTCAGGGTCTCTGTGGATTGCCCAAGCATTCACATACGCTATTGTTCTGGCTGGAATTTCATAACCACCTATCGTGCATGCTTCAGTTGTTTCTCTTGCCACAAGTAGTGGCGCTGGTAGATATAGTCTCAGCACTTCTTTTGTCACTGCTTTGAAATAGGGAAACTTTTCAATCTCATCTTCTTCTAGAAATTCTTTCTTACCTCCCAAAGTCCTAATTTCTTCTTGAACTTTCTTCAATACTCTTCGATTTTTTAGCAGTGCAGTCATGGCCCACACTGTTGTGGCTGCAGTTGTATCTGTTGATGCTACAAGCATGTCCTGCATAGAGAAACCACCCATTTGTTTTTTGTTTTTTTTTTTGAGTTTGAAAGACATCACAATATATTTTCAATTTGATGGCTTGTTGTGCACGGAAAATATGATGACTAATGGAATCATAATCATCAACAATCATATTTGTAAGTATATATATATAGAAAGATGATTGCTCACATAATTATTGTGGTATCCAGATAAAACACAGATCATTTTCAAAACGTCATTCAAAATTAAAAAATATTTGTGAAAATTACCACTATAGTTTTTTTATGAAATCTCAATAATTGTAGCCAGAAAAAATATCATTTGATTTGATATTTTACCGGTGCGAGGACAAATATACTTCTACGAATTTGTCGTTATTTTTATCCACTTCTAAAAATGAATGAAGTTGAATGAATATCCGGTAGGTTTTTCTCAACTTGTATTAACCATTACTTTAAGAGCAAGGACATCGATAAAATGAAAATAATTCTTTTGAAAAAACAAGTTATTTGCTTACTTTTCTCTTTAAAAACAACCTTGCTCATAATGTAACATTTGAATATTTTCATTTCTAAAGTTTACATAGAGATAAGTTAGACAAAACCCAGCAAATATATTAGAGTTATTACACAGGAACAGATAAATTAAATGAGAGGGAAAGAATTCGAAACCAGGAGCAGTGCTTTGATGTGATCATTTGTAAGATCTATGGAAGAGGAACGTTCCTTCTGCAGCTGAAGTAAAACATCTATTATACCCTCATGCTCTTCAGTGTTTCTGTTAGGATCCATGCGTTCATCAATGACTTCTTGGTAGAACTTATCTAAATCCTTGAAATTCTGATCCAGACGAGCACGTAGCCCCGAGAGTTTATCAACCCAACCTAAGAAAGGAATATAATCTGAGACGAAGAAGGTTGCCCACATAGCCTGACACTCATTGAACATGCTATGGAACCTGCTCCTTTCAGCTCCTTCATCTTCGTAGCTTCTCCCAAACACTATTCTACAAATGATAGTGCTGGTTAGGGACATCAGCAGTTCGTTCAAATTCGTAACCTTGGAAGATGAGGCATGCCCAGATAACTTTTTCAACATCTTTCTGACCTCAAACTCTCATATTGAAGAAAATCTTGAGACACGTCTGGAACTAAGGACATGGACAACAGATATTTTTCTAATTTCTCTCCAAAACTCACCGTATGGGGAAAATATCATCTCTAACCCATTGTAGGAGAGTTTCTGCTGGCCGAGTAATTTCGGTCGGTCACTGAATTCAAGGTCATGGTCTTTCAATAACTCTTTTGCTAACTTAGGTGAGGAGACAACAATGGTTGGCCTTAATCCTAACTGAATTGAAAATATAGGACCATATTTCTTTGAGAGTTTATAGAGTTGAAGATAAAGAAGAGAGTTATCAAGCTGATGAAGGTTTCCTATTATGGGAAGACCTTTAGGACCAGGTGGAAAGGAATGGTTCTTCAAGGTTCCACGCTGTCGTAAGAAGAACAGCAGAAGAACGGGAAGAACAAGGCAGAGAATCAGAAGAGGTGACACCATTGTGAACAATCAAAGCGGTGGAACCAAACAATCTCTCATTGAAACTCACTCGTATCAGACAGGATTATATATACAGGAAAAATCATATTTTTACACCCAAAAACTTTTACTTCTTTCACTATATATCTCTAATTTCTTTTATAATGACATGATAACAGAGATATTTTTTATAATATTTTTACATAGTATTATTTTTTCATTACATTAGATGTAGAATA